CTCCCCCTCCCATTCCTCAGATGACATGTGCATCCTGGGCCTCCTGCAGTGCCACAACGATGCCACCCGAAGGTTGCAGGAACAGCAAATCATATTCCGCTTGGGAACCCTGCAGCCCAATGGTATCAATGTGGACTTCACAAGCTTCAAAATGTCCCCTTCCCCTACCGCATCCCAAAACCAGCCCAGCTCGTCCCCGTCTCCCTAACCTGTCCTTCTTCCCACCTATCCCCTCCTCCCACCCCAAGCCCCACTCCCATCTCCTACCTACTAACCTCATCCCTCCCCCTTGACCTGTCTGTCCTCCCTGGACTGACCTATCTCCTCCCTACTTCCCCACCTACACTCACCTCTACTTGCTCTATCCCCGCCTCTTTGACCTATCTGTCTCCTCTTCACCTATCTTTTCATCTATCCATCTTCTATCCGCCTCCCCCTCTCTCCCTATTTATTTCAGAACCCCCTTCCCCTCCCCCATTTCTGAAGAAGGGTCTAGGTCCGAAACGTCAGCTTTCCTGCTCCTCTGATGCCGATTGGCCTGCTGTGTTCATCCAGCTGTACACCTTGTTATCTCAGATTCTCCAGCATCTGCAGTTCCTGCTATCTCTGGGTCGATTCTGTAATTGGCAATTAATTGCCTACGAGGTGATGTGTCTTTGAAATAGAACGGACTGTGGATTGCAGGGAATCTGAAACAAAAACAGAAATTACTGGAGGAACTCCATTCTAAAGAAGGGTTATTGTAGACTTGAGACCTTAACTCTGCTTTCTCTCCACAGATGCTGCCAGACCTGCTGAGTTTCTCCGGCAACTCCCCGTTAATGTCCCTTTCACATAATCTTAATTAGAGATGACCATAACTATTATAAAGCACTGTGGATGATGGAGGTTGGAAACAAAAACGGGAATTTCTGGAGAAACCCAGCAGATCTGGCAGCATCTGTGAAAAGAAAGCAGAGTTAATGTTTTGACTGTGGTAGCCGTTCTCAGAACCGTGGAGTTGCTGTCGGGAAGTGGAGATGTGGGAATAAGGTTGGATCAGCTGATGCCTCATGTAGTTGACTGATTTGGTTTATGGATAATGTGCTACTGATGACTTCAGGGGATATCAATGGACAGACAAAAACAATCCTTGTATTAAAGCAGTTTAGACTATAGTCAGGCATGTGTATAATGCCCATGTGCTGCTGTTTTCTAAACAGATTGTTATTGAAGGTGACTTCAACTCCACACCATTGTGCTGCTCAGTGTGACCAGGTACAATGATGGACAAGTTTGTCATCAGGCGATCAAAGAACTCCGGTAATCCCAAGTCAGAACAGCTTGAGGTCAAAAAGCAGACAGGCTGTGAAACAGTGAACAATGCAACGGCAGAGAATCCAAGGAAGAAACTGAAAAGTTGGGTGGGCGAAAGTGAAGGAACAGAACTGACACCCCTCTTAAATGAGCAAGGCTTGCTGAGAGATGTCGACTGTTCTTGGAAGCAGCTGAGAGCGGAGGGACTGAATTGTGATTATACCAAAATATTCACCAAATCAGAGGCGGATGACATATTTTTGCAGTTGGAGAAAGAGCTGGAGTATTTTTCAGGTACCGGTTAAGATATTTGAGTGAATGAATTTACAAAAGCCCAAATCCCTTTAAACAAGCAGGTAAATATGACCTGAGCAGCAACCCTGGCTCATTCACTGTAGGGCTGCCATTGTTTTCCAAACTAGATGCACATTGGGCAAGAAAAGTTGGCAACATCTCACTGGAGTACAACTACTGCTTAAAGTAGTTCTATTCTGCCACCCAATGCTATGGAGTCTGCTGTATTGATATTGCTAAAGAGGGATGTCATTCAGCCCATCTGAGTTCATGGATCTAGAAACATCTCAAATGCTGTATTGTCGTATTGTTTGTGAAATGATTCCAGTGTTTGCTGTTCCAATATTCCTTCCATTGACTTGGATAGTTTTCTGTTTTAAGTGCATCTTGGTAAACACAGGAATGCAAACATTTGCTGTTGTAACAGTGCAAGGTCAGGTCTTTATTAAAACAAAATCTTACACTGGAATAGTGAAAGTAAATGTTGTACAGGAGTTCACTTACAGCTCCTTTACTGAGTCTAACGTTGATGACAGTGTTCCATATATATGACAAATAAATCATCTTAAAACAAAGAGACATATGTAGAATAACAACATGGATCCAGCATAATCCCTTCATCTTTTGTGACCATTCTGCTGCCATGGTTATTTTGCACTTTTGGACTCTTCCATCATTTTAGTACTATGAAAGCAACAGATCATATTTACAGCTGAGTGAATTTCACACATTCTCTTACTCTCTTTTCTGAGAAAATATCCCTGCCAAACACATGTTTAAACCATGCTTGCAATTTCAGGAGAAAGTTCTTTTTAACTCATTGCCTTCCTTTGATGTCAAGATACTTTGGTCAACTCCCATTCCCATACATTTGAATACAATGAAAAAGCTTCCAGATCTCGGTCCTGTGGTCCTGTACCTCTCATTCACAGTTGAAAGAAGTAGCTGGTTTCCCCTTGCTGCATTTAGCCTAAAGTCAACTCCACGGTCTTTCATAGTTGAAAGCCTGATCTCGCTTATTGTACTTTTTTGAGCATTGGCGATGACATTTCTGAGGAAAAATCAAGGTGGTTTACGCCTGACACTTCAAAAAGAGACATGGAGCTAATTAAAACAACATTATCAGCATTAGGAATGCAATTTGTTTTTAAAAATTCATTCACAAGATGTGGATGGTGCTGGTTAGGCCCATTTCTAATTGCCCAGAGTGTAGTTAAGAGTCAACCATATTATTGTGGGTCTGGAGTCACATGTAGGCCAGACCACATAAGGATGGCAGATTTCCTTCTGGAAGACATTAGTGACCTAGATGGGGTTTTCTGACAATTGACAATGGTTTCATAGTTATCATTAGATTCCTATATCCAGATTTTTATTGAATTCAAACATCACTGTCTGCCTAAAGTTTTGGTAAAGCTCTGTAGCTCGGGTTGTGGGTGAGGTTGTTGACTTGCTCGCTGAGCTGGCTTGTTTTTGTTCAGACGTTTCGTCACCATGCTAGGTGATATCATCAGTGGAGCCACCGTCTGCCATTATGGGATTTGAATCCAGGTCCCCAGAACATTACCTGGGTCTCTGGATTAATAGCCCAGCAATTCTACCACTAGACTATCACCTCCCCATATTAACAAAGTTAATCCGTTTGTGTGAATGTTATGAACTCTGTATTGACTGCTATTTCTTTTCTGAAAATTGTTCATTCTTCAAGGTGAACAGACCAAAGTGCAGGTGTTTGGGAAATGGCACAATATTCCACGTAAACAGGTGACTTACGGGGACCTTGGCCTGACCTACACTTACTCAGGAGTGACCCTGACCCCTAGACCTTGGCTTCCTGTGCTGGAGATGATCAGAGCCCGAGTCATGCAGGCTACAGGACACACGTTCAACTTTGTGCTGATCAACAGGTGAACAATGCAGTGGGAGAGCTCAGAAGGGAACAAGTAGATGAAGGTTGGCTGCCTTAAAATGACAGTTTATTGCTTGGTAATCAGAGACTCCAATTTTTCAGGATACAGAGGGCAGGTGACTGACCATTTCAACAGTTGATCAGTGTTTGTGATATTGGCCATGTTGATGCTGGTCCTGAGGCAGGGAAAAGTTGCATTTATACAGCATCCTTAGGATGCAAGGTTCTTTACAACCAATAAAATATTTTTGACGTGTAATCACTATTCTACTATAAAAGCATTGCAGCCAATTTGTTTGCAACAAACAACAATCTGTTTATAACCAGAAGAAAGGGGTGATCTGTTTTTGTCAGGAAGCGAGGGTTCTACCTGCAGCTGACACCGATCTGCGTTCTTTTGCTTCATACTATCTGTGCTTCAGAGCCTTGGTCCAGGTTTCCAAGCTGTGAGATAATGACATGGCTGGCATTTTGCTGATGTGTATATTTGGTAAAAAGTCAACACTGTCTTTTTAAGGTTAGTTGACAAGTTTTCAAAAAAGGCTGTCAATTATTAATCGGCTTGAGATACAGCTGTCAGCATCCTGGTTTCCCAAAGGAAGTCAGACTTTTCTTAAATTGCTTGCAGTTTATTTATCACTTCCAGGGAAAGTGTATGAGATCAGTTAGACAGGGCTATCCTGATTGTCTTGCTTAGCTTTCCTCAACCTTTCATCCAACTGCTTGTAAAATGGAGGAGAAAATAATAATGTATTTGATTGTTCAGACAAATTCAGTTGGCTACAGTCCTAGTGCCTTGCGCTTTGCCTATCTGTCTAACTCCAAAAAAGCTAATAGTGTGCAGCATCAGTGGGGAATGTTGGTTTGGGAAGTAGCAGCACCTTCAAAGAAGGAAATTGAAGAGTGTGCACTAGAATGACATCTTTCTCATTCTCACACAACCAGAAGTGTTCATAGCTACTGAATTACTTTGCAGTCTAATTACTTATCGTACAGAAAAGTGACAGTCGGTGAGACCTCTTCTGTGTGCAGTTGTGGTTGCCCTCCTATCAGAAGGATATTGTTAAACTGGAGAAGGTTCAGAAAAGATTGCCGGGAATAGAGGGTTTGAGTTTAAAAAATAAGACTGGAAAGGCTGGGACTTTTTTCACTGGAGCATAGGAGGTTGGGGGTTGGGTTGACATTCATGAGGTTTATACAATCATGACAGGCATATATAAAGTTAATGATGAGGGTCTTTTCCCTAGAGTGAGGGAGTTCAAAACTCAGCATATTTTTAAGGTAAGAAGAGAGATTTAAAAAGGACAAGGGGCAACGTCTTTGTTTATACACAGAGTGATTCATATATGGAATGACCTTCCAGAGGAAGTGTAGATGTGGGTACCATTACAACATTGAAAACACATTTGGATAAGTTCATGAATAGGAAAGGTTTGGAGAGATAGGGGCTAAGTGCAGGCAGGTGGGACTAGTTTAGTTTGGGAACATGGTTGGCATGGAACAGTTCGACTGATGGGTCTGTTTCTGTGTTGTATGACTCTATGACTATGATTCTATGACAGCTCACTTAATGCACACACAAACTACTGATGGACTTGGCTGAAGGGTGAATGTTCTCCAGGAAGCCCAGAAAAACACCCCTGATTTTCAAATAGTGCAATGGTGTTTATTTTTATCTCCAGTTCAACAGACAGTTGGAGTCCGGAGTTACAATTACTTCTGAAAGGTGCTGGATCTACCAATTAGCACTCATTCAAGTGTCAGGAGGGAGAGGGGGTGTGTGCGATTGCATCCTGAAGTGGGGGCTGACCCTATGATTTTTAAAAAATTTTGACCTGACTTGAGTGAAGACGATGGCTGTCTTAAGTTCAGATATGGTTTTGCTGTCTGCCTAAAGTATGGAATTTATCCTCTGTTTGTAAAAGTCTGACCTTCCCTTTCTTCTTGAATCCTCTGTCTGAGCTGCAACATGGATGGGCCATGGACGGGGTTTCTGAATACACCCTGATTTATTTGGTTTATTGTGGTCACGTGTACCTAAGTACAGTGAAAACTTTTATTTTGTCAGCAGTACAGGCAGATCCTAGCAAACCAGGACATACAGATCATAGGGTGCTTAGACAGAGTGAGGCACACAGGTTACACTGCACAGCATGTGCACAAAGCAAGATCAGCATTATGTGAAGTCTAATAACAGCAGGGAAGAAGCTGTTCTTGAACCTGCCAGTGCACGTGTTCAAGCTTCTGTGTCTTCTGCCTGACAGAACAGGTTGTAGGAGAGCATTACTGGGGTGGGAGGGGTCTTTGTTGGCAGCTTTTCCGTGGCATCGAGAAGTGTAAATGGAGTCTGTAGATGGGAGGTTGGCTTCTGTGGTGGTCTGGGCTGTGCCCACAACTTTCCATAGTTTCTTACGGTCTTGGGCAGAGCAGTTGCTATACCAGGCCGTTATGCCCCTGGATAGAATGCTTTCTATGGTGCATCTGTAAAAGTTGGTGAGGGTCCTTTTATGGACATGCTGAATTTCCTAAGCTGCCTGAGTTGTTGTGCCCTCTTGACAGCATGAAGCCCTACAGATTTGGCACCAATTTGATACACACCAGCATCCCCCTTGACCGAGTCTTCCCCCCGCCCGACTTGGAAAGAAAATTAATAGGCTGATTCTTGAAGAAAACACACAAATTGGTCACTTACTGCTACTGGACAGTTGTTTTCCTTGTTTGTGTGAGGAAATGTACCCCCGAGAGCAATTTGCTTTGTGAAGAATTTTAAGATGCACTGGTGCTAGATAAATGTAAAAAAAACTCCAGAAAGACTACAGATTAATGGATGGCTTAAGAATCAGATTGACACACTGATGGTACTGAGTGGGAGAGACTCTGGTTCAATCCTTGGGTCATGTCAAGTCAGCTGTGAGGAGTTTTAGGAGCCTCGGAATTTAGAGGAGGTTTAATCAATGCTGGATGTTCACTCCTGATCACTAGGTGATCTCTGATGGAAGTGTGCATGCGTGAAACTCTGGTGTCCCTCAGGAATCTATCCCTGCCCCTCTCCTGTTTTGCATTTAGGTGCTGCCCCTTGGCAACATCATCTGAAAACACAATGATATGTCCAATGTGTAGGTTGACCACATTCACTCTCCACCAACTCTCCCAGCCTCTCCACTGCCTCTGATTCTTCAGACTCCTTCAGCAGTACCACGACTGGAGGAGCACACGCTTACCCTGATCTCTGTCACCAATACTGTTCCCGAGCTACTGACTCCATCTCCCCAGGCGTACGTGAGGCTGAGCCAGGCTGTAATGTGACTTTGCTCTTGCTTTTTGATGAGCTTCCAACAGCAATTTGTTCCATCACCAACACCACCGGCTCTCCACCCCCATGACGTTCCCTGGTACAGCTCCTGCCTCATTTCTTCCGCTGCTGAAAACCTCATCTGTGCCTTTGTTCTTTCTGGACTTGACTAACTCAACACTTCCCTGTTTCCCATCTTACACCCTGCCCTGAGCCCATCCATGCTGCTCATTGCCCAACACCCACCCAGTCTTCCTGCCCATCATCCTTACACTCACTGACCTGCCGCAATGCTTCAGTTTGAATTCTGACATCCACCTTCACAGATTCCACCATGACTTTGCTCCTTTCCAGGCTTAAACCCCTCGGGGTATCTACATTCCCAGAATTCTGGTCTCCATTTCCTTTTAGTCTTCAGTGTCACTGATTAAGCCACCATTTATTACCCCATCTTTTATTACCCACCTTTAATTGCCCTTGAAGGTGATGATGAGCCACCTCTTGAACCTCTACAATTCTTGGGGTGTGGGTACACTCACGGTGCCATTAGGAAGGGAGGTGTGTGAGCTACCGCCTTCAATTACAGCAGCCTGTGAGATGGCAGATACGCCTATAGTGCTGTGACGAAGGGAGCTCCAGGATTTGACCCAGAAGCAGTGAAGGAATGGAGATCTGTTTCTGTCAGGATGGTGGGTGACCTGGGGGAGGAAACTTGCATTGGAAACTTGTTGTTCCCACGCATCTACTGTCCTGCCCTTCAAGGGGGAAATGGTTTGGAAGATGCAGTTGATGGTGCCATGGTGAGGTCTATAAATGATAAGCACTGCTGCTGGATGGAGTGTGTAAATAAAGGGGTGGATGGGATGCCAGTCCAGCATGCTACTTTGTTCTGGATAGAATCAACCTGTTGCATAGTCGGAGCTGCACTCATTCAGGCAAGTGGAGAATATCCCATCGCTCTCGTACCTTTACAGATGGTCACCGTTTTGGGGAGTTAGAAATCCTAGGCATGTGTATGCCCGACTTCATTCACTTCCCTCATTGGCAGCTGGGTTGCCATCATGTTCTAGAATCTTCTCCATAAATCTTTTTCCATCCAAAGATGTAAGACCCTTCCCACAGGCAGGATGCAAGGACGAGTTTGGACAAATAGCTCCACATGACCTCTGTCACATTTTATCTGGTAATGCTGTTGTGAAACACCTTGGAATTTCTTAACTCCAGTTAAAGGTACTATATAAATGCAACTTCTTGCCAGATGGGACGGGATTCAGCTCCCATAGTGGCGTTGCCTGCTGACTATATTGGGGTGTAGGACATCCCTTGGGAGAATGGTCTGTTGGGTGAGGTATCACTAGTGAGCTGCTCCTGGGAGAAACAGGAATTGTGTTTTAAACCCAGTGAGAGGGTGTATCACAGTCTAGTGACTGCCACTAGCAAGTTAGGAATGCTGACGCTCTGTTCTCACCGACAGGTACAAAGATGGACATGATCACATAGGGGAGCACCGTGATGATGAGAAGGAACTGGAGCCTCTCAGCCCCATCGCATCAGTCTCCTTCGGCTCCTGCAGGGACTTCATCTTCCGTCATCGGGACTCGCGGGGGAAAAGTGCGACGCGCCGCCTGGAGCCGGTGAAGCTGCTTCTGGGTCACGGCAGCCTGCTGATGATGAACTACCCCACCAACATCTACTGGTACCACAGCCTGCCCGTCCGCAAGAACGTGCTGGGCCCTCGCATCAATCTGACCTTTCGCAAGGTTCTGCCTCCCACGAAGGCGGACTGAGAGTGTTCCCCTCAGCACTGAGTGAAGATAATTGATTGTCAACTCTCTTGTCTATCTGTTTCTAAATTCTCTCCCTTTTCCACTCAACTTACTGGGCTTAGATCTGATGTCAGCAGCAGCTCTGCTGCTACTTTAACCCATCTGTCTCGTGGATGAGGCCCTGTCTGGGGATCCTTTCGTACTGCCTTGAAGGAGGGCAGGGAGCTATCCCCACTGTTTCACTCAACATTTAATCCTTCAAACAACATCACAAAAATAATTACTCGGTCACTCCACCGTTACTGACAGTGGGATCTTCCTGTGTGTAGATTGGCTACCCCTTTTCCTGCACAGTGACTGCGCCACAAAACCACTTGATAAACCATGAAGGACTGTGTGATGTTCTGAGGCTGACAGAGGTGCTTTATAAATGTACGGCTTTTGTTTTAGTTTTGTGGTAGGGTAGCCTTGATAGTAATTGTCCGTTGGTACATTAGTTAGAGGGCTTTACAGCTCTTAGTCATGACAGTCATCTCCTAATGCTACAGGCACTTGATGGAGGGGACATTGAGGGGAAAACTGCCTCCCCCACCCACCCCCGCACTAACAGAAATCAATGGGAGCATCCCAAACAAAGACTGAGTCAAGGTCCTAACTCTGTATTCGTAGGACTGGGTTGATATTGGGCAGCAGTTGGTCTTATACCAATAAAAATTGTGTTATCGATTTTTTTTTTTAAATAATCTGGTCCCTCTTAACAACTTTTGAGAATATTTTTATAGCAGGAACTGATGAGACCAATAACAGCACATGACTCAAACGCATTAATTATCAATGTGGATTATTTTGAGGGACTCCCATTGACTGTGATCAAGTAGAACGGTAGCGGACCTCCCTAGTAGTCTTTTATTTTTAGTTTTACATATTTCCCAATCAGCCTGTTCAGTGATGTTATTTACACATCTCTGGAGTAGGTAAGGCTTGAACACAGGCCTCCTAGCCCAAACACAGGGACGCTAACACTACACCACAAGAGCCCAGTGTAGCAGTTTTAAATCTTTGTGCCTGTTTCTTTTAATGCATGAGATTTCAGTGGAAAACCATCTTTGTTTTGCAGACGTTTCATTACCCTGCTGGCTAACATCATCAGTTCAGTTCAACGGACACCAGAGTTTAAATAACAGACAGAAAAACACAACAGCCCTTCATCGGAGGCTGCACCCTAGCGGGGTAATGAAATGTCTGCGGAACAACAACAAACCAGCTCGGCGAGCCAACCAACCACAACCCGAGCTACAAATCTACTCTAAAGCTTTAGAAACCAGCTTTAGCACCAGCTGCTGTAGAATGGGAATGTCAGTGTCCTATCTGTGTATGCATTTTACATAAGAATTACACACTGCTGTAACATTATCTTTTATTCTATGCAGGCTTAATCCCTGCCCAGATTAACTCTAAATTCTTATGGATGTTTGCTACTCTATAATTTATACCCTGTTGCCTTGTGTGCTTTAGTATTCAGTTTCGCTTTGGCTTCTCAAAGGAAATTTCTGCTCCAACCAACTTCTCCTGTCTCAACAGCACCATTAGATGCATATTAGCTCCAGGCACGAGGCCACGCCCAGCCTGTAGAGAACACCTGAGGGAGCCATCAGATAATGCTACGTTACTAACATAGCCACTTGCCATACAAACGCCTCTGCCCCTTTGCTACTCTTTGCCTGAAGAATGCCGATTTCCCTAAATTATGCTGAGTTTTAACCTAGCGAGATCTATATTGTCTATACATGTGTCCTTCCCAGCACAGTTTTCAAGTGAGAACTGTTGATTGCATTTTGTTCTGAGGAGCATGATGACAAATGGTGGTTGTGGTATCTTAGTGCTCTGTAAGATTATATTCCACATGAGCATCAAAATTTAGCAATCAAGCCAAGAATGGTTTTCTTAATGCATTACAAAAAAAAGTGCATTATTGAAGGACACAGCTGGCTACAGCTTGTTAAATTACAATAAACAAGATAATTTATTTTTCTTTCCTTGTTGGGAGCCTTCAATTTTTTTTACTTAAACTATTGTTGCTGCATGTCCAATGGGTCCGTTGCAGTTGGAAGCACAGCTGAGCCCTATCTTGATCACGTCTAATCGTGGGATGAAAACTTTCCAGTAGGGTTTTTCGGTCATGATCAATGATGGTGGTATTTTTGCTTTCTCTAGGGTAGGTGCACTGAGGATCCAAACATTGACCCAGCTCAGATCAGTCAATTCATTGACAAATTAAGGATTGAGAATATTAGTCTCACAGAGTGCATAACTCAGCAACTCCTACATAAATTACAGGCCACTCAAGAAGCATTTTATAGATTTGACTTAATCAAACAGGAATATTCTCATGGCAAAGCTTTAGGTATTCAGGACCATGATGAGGAGAAATGATTTCAGGCACTAAGGTTACCATGAGCCATCACTGCTTGTAACCATCATGTCAATTGGTGTTTTCATGGTTTGTGTTACAGTTTTGTACTTTGATTTATCTAAATACGACCATAAGAAATAGTAACAGAGTAGGCCATTCAGCCCCTCGAACCTGCTCCATCGTTCCAGTAAGATCATTCCTCACGTCCACTTTCCTGCCATTTCCACATAACCCTTGATTCTCTGACTGATCAAGAACCAATCTCAGCCTTAAATATACACAAAGACTCTGCCCCACAGCTCTCTGTGGCAAGTAATTCTAAAGACTTACACTCCTCAGAGATAAAATTCCACCTTGTATCAGTCTTAGATTATGTCCCTTTATTAAGACTGTGTCCTCTGGTCCTAAACTCTCCCATGTGGGGAAACATCCTCTCAGCATTTACTCTATCAAGCCCCCAGTAAATAGGTTTACATGGACTAAGATTTGACAAACTTACATTATTGAGAAGCAAACTTCTATGGTTTTTTTTTGTTGCTGTATTTGTGGAAACTCAATCTCCTATTATTACATGTGGAACATAGCAGGCCAATGTCAAACACCTTCTCTACTTTTGGGGAAGTATAGAAGATAAGAATTTGTTGAAATCTCAATTCTGGTGAGAGTCTTTGTTTCTAGTAAAAAGGCTGATTAATTATCAGACCACATCATACTGCAACACTGCACCTAGAGGTGGCGCTGCCCATAAACACAGCCCTAAAGGTATATGTGACTGGGGCAGGAAGCAAGCGAATTCTGTTCATTTTATTCATGGAAGTGAAAACAATTCCAGGGCCCAAACAGAGCAAACCACAAAGGTGTAACAAGAAGCAGGGAATAAGTGACATTAAGTTTTAAAAAAATGTTACCCCCAGGAAGAAAGGATGTGGAAGGGAAGGGGGTCTCCACGATTCTGCAGCCCACAAGATGAGTTGAAACAGGACACATTCTTGGTTTAAACACATTGAGGAGTTTAGAAAAGAAGTGTCAGAGAACTATTAATAAACTTCACACTAAAATGGAGATTTTCTGTTTGCCCGTAAGTAAACTTTATTACTTTTCTGTCTGACAAATTAAAACTGACCTCTCCTACAACAATTTAATTCATATATACATATACACAGATGTACAATTAACGAGTTAGTGCAAAAAATGCTTTCGTTTTGTAGTTTCTTGTTTATACAATCAATCAGAATTTCATTATTTTTCTCACAAAAATATTAAAAATCAAACATTTAACATTTCCCACTCTCTCCAGCTTGCATGTTGACACAACAGATGCACAACTTTTTTTTATAAGTTCAGGGTGATGAACTGGCACACCAACAACTTATTCGGAGCTTGACGCCAAAGGATGTCTGTTTTGGGCTAGACCAGAGGCACATGATTGGGTACGTAGAATATTGAGGTGCTTGCGGTACAGTCCGGTCTTTTCACACAATCCTGCTGCACATCAGACTCCCTTGGCACTGCCCTTCAATGCCTCTCAGTAGGAAAGCACTGATTTTACAATGAATGTTTCAGGAATAGGTCTGTTGCCTACAATGAAGGGCATGGACTCAGGTTAACAGCCATCACCAAGGAGATTTCTGGTGGCATTGGAAAGTCAATCTTCTCCCAACCTGGGGACATGCGGTAGGTACAAAATGAAGCAGACTTTTTGACAGCATACAAAACTAAGGGCACTTTAAGGAGTCCCAATCTGCGATTCGTCTACAGCACATGATTCATACCCTAAGTCTTTGGGATAAACTGCTTAGATGAGCAGAATAGTGCTGGGATCTCTGAAATCATGTATTTAACAAGGGATGGAAACAACATCACCGAGACAATCTTAAATTACCCTTACAGCCAAGCATTTAGGAATGGTATCAGGAAGCACTTTTTCATACTTAGGACGGGGGAAATCTGGAAGTCTGCCCCAAGAAGGCTGATGAGATAATCGGAATTTTCAAGACTGGAAGTGATGGATTTTTTGCTCTTCAAGGCTGTCAAAGGAGACGGTACAATGCAGGAATAGATCAGCCAAGATCTAGCTAAATGGCATGAGCTTAAGGAGCTGAATGGCCCACTTCTATTCTTATGAAACAGGACTGAAGCAGATGGAAAGCTGTAGTGTTCAACTGAAATACAAAATGAATGAGAACCAGCAGCTGAACTTTATAGTCTTTTTAGCCATCTCATTCATAGGTCTCTGATTAACCAATCAGCTTCAAACTGTTGCAATTCCATAGCAATATAAGGGAGTGTACTGAATTCAACCAACAGGCACTGATCATCCTCATCTCTTGCACCTTGCATTGTAAGTTTAAATAAATGTTTACAGCAACATATTTTAATTTGACCCAGTTTCATCCGTAATATGGGTTAGGTGTTGTACATCCATTGACAGATATTGTACAAAACACCCAAAAAGTCCAGCTCCAGGTGGTCAGGACCGCACCCCTACATTCAGTCTGTCCATGTTAGAGAGGACTTTGAGAATAATGCAAGTCCCATTTCTTTACAGACAGTGTTGGGATCAGAAAATGATCTGGCAGACTGTTCCTGGTAAAATTGTTTTGTTGGTCATACTATCACAAACCTAACCTATCCAACATGCACTGCACTACTGGACTGCTCCCATAGACCCTTGACCCTGGGGTAAAAGCATCACCCAATGGATAATTCCAGATTCAGACCTTGTTAAAGCTCCTTGTAAAACTTCCTGATCGTGGCTGGAACAACTAGGATTCCCAAACTAGCAATCTCTGCTAGAAAGACACGTCAGGTCAGAAATGCACCAGGCCTAGGTTTGAGCAAAGAGTAGGTAAGATCCTGGATGGTGATCAGCATTTATGGAACTGTCTATAGTCAACAATCATCAGAGGTAAATGACTGAGAACTGGGGAACCTTCACAACAATGGAAGGTGTAGAGATGGAAGTGAAAGTGGTCATTGCATCAAAACCAATGAGATTTGGCTCACATCAGGCCACCAGAATTGGTGGTTGAGTCCACTGTGATACTAACCTCAGATTTGTGCATTATTGCCAGTCCACTAAATAAAGACTTTATTTAACTGAACAAATCCCTCTTCCTCCAGACTGACTATCCCAAAACTTCTTCCCGTGTTTCCAAAGTTTCCAATGTTGGGGTAAGCTTTCACCAGAGATGTGAGGGCTTTGTAAGGCAACATCAGGGACATTTCTGGGATTCTGTGTGAGGTGAGCACAGCTTTTGCAAAAGCACAACACAGGCCCGCAGATCACATGATCATGTTGAGTGTCACTGCCCAAGCCTGACACGGTCGTCATCTAATGTCCACACAGAAAAGCTTTCAACATGAAGGAAGGGAGGGTTTGGTGCAAAGGAGGTCCCTGCCATCCCAGCTAAGGTCAACTACCTGGTCCAGTTTATCTGGGGTAGTCCTGGTAATCATGATTTGGTCCCATATTGCATTTGCCAACAACCAGCGAGGGCACCGTTCAACCACACACCAATCCTGTTTATATAACAGGTTCTTATTTCCACTGCTTTATCCAGTTGAACATCACACAATACCCTATAAATTACTAATACTGAAGTGGCACAATGGCTAGGTAATATTGAACTTATATTTTCGTTTTAAAGTAGTTAAAGAATAAAACTGAAGGGAGTATAAATAGTGTATGTGGCAAAGTAAAGCTGACCAATTCAACCTAAGTCTTTCCACGGTTGCTGACAGTGCCACAGTATTGCACTGTGCACCATTTCCTCTAAAGCTGCAAGTGTATGACTCAGTCTCATTGAGCCATTAACATTCACACTGTGGACTGGGGCAATTTATGTCATACATTACACAGACTCCCTACCCAATCTTTCCCTGAATGGTAATAACAGTGCTATTTAATGCCCTCCCGATTATCCTGACACCAGCTCATGCAGGCCCAGAAACAGCAGAAAAGTCGTACTATGGTACTTACTCACTAAACTCAAAGCACATGACACATACATATATACGGTTATACAAGTGAACAGCAGCAGGAACTCTGGATCATTTCTTCCCATTTCAAGAAGAGCTCAGGCTAACTGTAGCTCTGTCCTGTCTAAGTTTATTTTTGCTAGATCTGACTGTTTCTGTTTGGCAGATCACAACTTTCACCCCCTATAATAAAAGGACTCACTTCTTACTATTTTGTATTAGCACTCCATGCAGTCAGACTCACCCTAGGAATGAGGATTCACAATTGCCAACATGACTGCATAGAGATGTGCATTCTCTGAAAACTGTTGAAAATCACCTTGCCTCTTACATTCAGGGATTGTATCAGCAACTCCTCCCATCACATTTCAAGGCAGCAAGCAGAACACACGGGCAATTTACTACCAGACCAATTTGTACGATCGGCCAAATTCTAGGAGCTATATCTTCTAATCCCTCTGCTCCTGAAGCTGTCAGCTCTTGCTGGTTCCATAGGCACTGGTGGTCCTACGATAATTCAGCCAAGTCTTTATTGTTAGTGCACAAATCTCGGCAGAGACGGAGAGAGAGCTGGGGCACCACTGTCTAGCCCTTACCTGACAGACTCATAAATTACGGGCAGTAAAACGGAACCCACATTTTTGCTCTCCCTGTAAAGGGGTAATTTGTAGCAACCCAAACTATTGTCCCATGTTGGAATGAGCACAGACTGAAAGTGGAACCTTGGGACAAATGGTAAGTGCAAATGGTATGTACCCACAAGTCTTAAAGGGAAGTTCAATTTTTTTTTTTTTTGAAACCTTCTCACTAAACCTGTGACTCTATTGGCTATGGAGATAGTAGGAACTGCAGATGCTGGAGAATCTGAGATAACAAGGTGTAGAGCTGGATGAACACAGCAGGCCAAGCAGCATCAGAGGAGCAGGAAGGCTGACATTTTGGGCCTAGACCCACCTTGTTATCTCAGATTCTCCAGCATCTGCTGTTCCTACTATCTCTGAAACAATTTTAATCCCACTGCGAAGCCCCATTTCTGAGGAAGGGTCGAGGCCCGAAACATCAGCCTTCCTGCTCCTCTGATGCTGTTTGGCCTGCTGTGTTCATCC